AGATACCAGCAGCCAGGAAAGAGGGAATAACCGGGGAAAAGAGAGAGGGAATGCGCTGTTCACTGACCAGCTCAGCCCCCTCTGAGAAGAAAAGGTGTTAACAGCGGTGATCACCGAGCTGCTGGCTTGTGCCCAGATCTTCWAGGCTGTAACTAAGCAGAGTTCCATTCATTTTAACCCGGCTGCCCTGAATCTTCCCCCTCAGCAGGTCTGGTGTTGTTTCCAAGCGCACAAAGCAACGCCAGGTCCTCGAAAGGGTTTTTAACTCCCCTGGCAGAGCAGCACAGCGCATTTGTTACCTGCTGCCCTGTGTTTCTGCCCAATTCCTGCTTGTAGCACCTGAATTGATGTCACACMGTACAGGTGGCTACTTACAGACTGACAGGAACCAGTCTGTAGTTTTTATATCTCTCTTTTTATCCGTAGCAATCGTGCGTGACATTTGAACAAATCCAAACCAAGTGCAAGGATATTCTAAACACAAAAAAATACAGTTTTTAAATTATAAGTTATTAGGTTATAATATATGTCTTGAGAGAGGAACAAGACACCAGTACAGGAGCACACGACCTCCAAACAACTTTTAAATAAAAAATACGTGAATTTGCAAATAATAKAAATATTTATCTTCTCTTGTAGATCAGAACAGATCTGGAGGGATTTCTTCTTGTGAGCACTAATGACAACTAATAATTTGCAGGGACTTTTTTCTGCATCTTGGTAAGGAAATTTAACGGGGAAATCTTATGACCAGGCACCCTTCTTCAAACCTAAAATATCTCTCACCTCTGAATGTTATCTCTTGCTGTAGATTAAAGACAAGGACATGCCACAGAGGTGKGCACGTTAGATAACCACAGAGGGTGACAATGCGATGTTTTGGTTGTGTCTTGGGATTATATTACCTTTTCGGGTAAAAATTTGCAAAAATTTTTGAAATTTGAGATAAATTTCCTACAATTGAATCCATACTGGAAAACTGATGAATCTCACTGATTCCTTTTGGGAGCTCAGCAGCAGAAGGAGCCCCCAAAACAGTGCAGCTGAAAAACCTAAACTAAAGATGTTTTAGACAATACRCATTAAGTTTTTATCTAAAGGGTCGGAAGATTCATAGCTCTCTTTAAATAAACACACAGAGCTGGAAAAATACTGAAGGTAMGATCTTGGTGAGCTTGATACAATTTCTTGATATGCATTTGGAAATACAAACAAATTCCAGACACTTGCATGCCAAACGYGTGTACTTTGCCTTATCTGCAGTCTCCACACAGAGATGTTAAGCGTAATATGCAGCAATATTGCAACTAAATTGGCGCTGTTCTTAACAGTGAGTGGAATATCTTCATTTGCCGACTTACTTTTCCAGTACTACCCTGAAGTTCTAGGATATGAGTGGATTTTTTTTTTTTTTTTTTTTTTTTGGCCGTGGAGCTGAGCTTTGGCAGAGAAAAATCTCTCCTCACTGTAGGTCTGCTCTACAGGAGGCACAAGTCACCGGAGCTTTGTGAGTAACGCGGCCACTGAGGTAGCAGTAATTTTCCAGAGCGCCCCGTTATTAAATGACCCTAAAAAAGGGCAAAGAAAACGGAAGTCATTTGCCCCGGCCGGTATTTTACCAGCAGCCTTTATCAGGTGCTGACCTGCCCTGTTCAGGGAAGTGTTGTGACTCCCTGTTTGCCTGCGACACCCTGAAACGGAGGCCAGCAGGGGCCAATGGGCGAGTTAAAATACAGGGCAGARCCAGGGCACGCTGGGCTGGAGCAGCAGAAGCCAAACGCGGGGGTTTTACAGGGCGAGTGCTCCGTCACCGCATCCCCCCGGGGCTGCCCCTTGCCGGGCTCCCTTCGCTTCCTCCGGCTCGCTGCTTTCGCAAACCCCCGCGGGAGGAGSAGGAGGGCTGGGGGCACGGGGAGAAGGATCCCCAGGCTGGGGAAGGGAGGGACAGAGCCGACAGAGCCGCCCCGGGGTCGGTAGCCGCCGGTGCCTCGGGGCGAGCGAGGCGGGCGCGGGGAGCGCCGGGTCCCGCCCGCCGCGGGAGGAAGGGGCCGGGCGGCGCATCCACCTGCGGCACCTGCCCCTGCCCTGCCCCGCWCCGAGACTCCTCCCCGGCCGCACCGCCCGCTCCCGGCTCCCTCCGCCGCCTTCCATCCCCTCCCGAGCCGGCCCGGGCCGCTCCGGCAGCCCCAGGTGAGCGCTGCGCTTCCCCTTCCCCTCGGGAACCACCGGGAAGGGAGCGGAGGGTGGGATCGCCATCCCGGCCGCTGCTGGTTTTGCCTTTTCTCTCTGATCTGGGGGATGAGGAGGGACCCCGGCGGAGCCTGGGAAGCCCCATCCCACGGGGGTAGGAGGCGCCGGATGATTGAGAACCAAGAGGGGAGGTAGCTCGCCCCTCTCCGCGGCTTTTCCCCCTCTTTCCCCGCTCGCCCCTTCTCCTCAGCCGTTTCTCCAGCGGTAGATGCAGCGTGATAAACTTGCGCTTCCCCGCGGGCCGGCGGGTAAGGAAACCGGGAGAACGTGGATGGGGCAGCCGGGATAGCCGGGAGCCAAAGTTACTCGGAGGAAGGAGGTGGAAGGGGAATCCGGGAGCCAAAGTTACCCGGAGGAAGGAGGTGGGTGGAACGGTGCCGTGGATTCAGTGTAACTGAGTGGTCCGAGGGTGCCGTGGATTCAGTGATAACTGAGCGGTCCGAGGGTGCCGTGGATTCAGTGATAACTGAGCGGTCCGAGGGTGCCGTGGATTCAGTGAGAAGGAGCAGGGGGAAGGTGCGGAGGGCTCAGCCAGCGCCGGCCCTCCCCGCACCGCTCCAGGTGGAGCTTGTCCATCTCTTGCTTTGGTGATGAAGGGTAAAAGATTGGGCAACTTCTTCAAGGTCACTGAGCGAACAGTCACTCATAGAGTAAACCAGAAAAACGTCGAGTTCTGGGGCCTCTTCAATGTGTATTCATGCTTTATTGATTGATTTATTTATTTTGCAAAAGCACTGATTTCTGGTGAGAGTTGGCGCAGCTTGGTCAGGTGGTTTAAGAAGAACTTTTGGGAGAGCTGTGGCATTGTAACTTCTGGGCCAAAGCTTTGCTCGCTGAAATGAATCCAGTCCACACCGCCCCGCAGGTGGCTTTATGTTCATTGCTTACCTGGACTCGAATCTCAGCCTCAGCTTCCTGGGTGGGTGGGTGTTTATGAGTTTAAGGGACAATTCTCACACTGAGCCTTTGTCCTAAGTGGCTCTGTTTACTCTGAGTGACACAAAAGTCTCTGGGGCTTTAGAAAGAGCCGAAGGAAGGAGCGTGGATTATTTGCATCATTTAGGGCAATATTGGGTGGGAAAGAGGTGGATGTTGTGTGTGGCACATATCAATGAACTGGAAAAATGGCAAGTTGTGGCTTTTACCTACAGGTGTAAATGTACAACCAAAAGACAYGTAGATTAAGATAAATTTTGATGTCTAAGTAGGACTTGATGTGCCTTTTTGTCCTTCWTTCTTTCCTTCTTACCCTGTTAACATTACTGGTTCATAGACAGCCAGCCTAGAGCGTCTCTATCACAGTAGCCTATGGAAATAAGTCGGAACTACGTTCCTGGATGTTGATGGAAAAACAAAGCAACACATTATTCTGGGATGCTGGTCAAAACATTTGTCTTGGAGTCACCAGTCCTGAAGATATGGGCTTTTCCYCTTGTGCCAGTCTGGGACTGGTCCATGCTGAGTAGCTCCAGTGTCAGGGTGGTGGCTCAGCGGTGCCTGTGCTCYGCAGCAGCGCTTCCCCCACTCTCTGATGTGTGCATCCCGAAACCATTTCTGGCAACACGAGCCTCCCCGTGGAGCGAATCCAAACCTTGTGCCAGCAGATTTGCTTTTCACTCTTATCTGCCACAGACCTCTTAGAAGTGGTTTGCAGCTCCTCAGGACCTGTGGGTCACAGGTTAAAAATAGCTGACCTGGACAGGTATCTAAATAATTTGGATTTGTTAATGTTGCCGGGTTTTATTTTTCTGCAGTGTGGGCACCCAGTGCTGCTGTATTCATATAATACTAATTTTCAGCTCAAATATGGTCAACAAGTATTCTTGTGAGGTTTATTTCCTTGCCAGAGACTTGCAGTGACGTAGACAGACACTTAAATTATGCTGCTAGAAGGTAATAGTCAAATACAAAGACCGTGAGCAAATATGCTTCTGCCAGAAAACTATTTACTTCTGCCACGGAGGAAAGGCAGAGGTAAAATCGGGGATGTGGTGTAGGGGAAGTGAAAATTCAAAGGCCAGGCTGGCTGCTGCTGCATTCTCCAGCTCCTGCTGTGCTCTGGCCATGGGTGCTGTGTTGTGCAGTTGTTGCCTGACCAATGGGTCCATGCCCTACCAGATCAGAACCTCCTGCTTCTTCTGGGATCTTGGTCCTTTTAATTTCAGAAATGTCTGGTTTTGTTGAGTCTTGTGCACTCATCATCTACTCAGTGAAAAGAAAAAAAAGAGCATTTCAGCCTCCTTCCCCACTGCGCCATTCCTAACAAAGTACATGATGTAATTATTTGATTTTGATCAAATTTGATAATTTGATGTTGATGTCTCTTTTCAGACAGAKGATAATAATCATAGACAATTATTTGCAATATCAGCATGGCATCCTATAATTTTTTTAAATGAGACTGCTACGCTCAGAGATTTTTAATGCCTTCTTTTTTTTTGCATGTGGAAATAGACTTAATTTCATTTTCCTGGCCTCTGGAATAACGCTGCGGGCTTCATTGAGATGCTGCTGATAGTGCTTATCACGAGGCACTGTGTTTTAACACCTCTTGATAAATAGTTGTACAGCATAATGGTATTTTASGAGCTAATCTAGAATAGTTTCAAAGCTATTTTTTAGGAGCTATGAGAAGGATGAGGTTTTTTTTGTGGCAACCTTTCATGTAAATATTTGCATAGTCTCATGTATTTCTCTGGAATACTCGTGATGTAACTGTCCAGGCATGCTGAGYAGGGCTCACCTCTGCTGAGAAGGTTGGCTAAAGGGCCAGGACACTGGAGGACCCTGATTTTCATGACTTTGAGACATTCAATCAACTTCTCTTTGATCCCTGCCAGAGGATGAATGGAGTAAATTAAAATCACWTTTAAAAAATCATCTCAATAAAAATATTCAGTGCCACTTTCTGGAGAAGTGTCAAGGAAATCTTGTTAATTAAATGAGAAGGAAAGATCTTGTTTACCTCCTTTCCTTTTTAATTCATAACTGGATTTTTTTAAACTATTTTATACTTCATTTGCAAGTCATGATACTTTTTAGTTCTGATTGTTAAATAGGAATATTGACCAYGTTTCTTTCCTCTCGTCCAAGTGACAGGGCAGGAAGTGTTCTGTGAAATTGCTCTGTGAATAGATCATGAAAATGAATCTGGAATCATCTCTTTGTTCCTCTCCATTTTTTTTTTMTTTTTATTGCCCCACTAACATTTCCTCCCYAGCATCATATCATGGTTATATTGTGCTTAAACTTCTAGAAGGTCATAAAACGTTTGGGAATGAAAAAAAAAAAACGAAATCGTATTTCCTTTCTAGCATCATCAACGCCATAATTTGTTGGCTTGCCCTTTCTTAAGGTTGAGCTTTGCACTGAAATTACTCCTTTGCTATCTAAATTGTTTTGTTGGTTTGTTCATTTGCTTGATACAGGGAATTTTTTGAATGTGACGCAGTGTGTTAGTCATGTTCATCTAGAATGTTTGGATGCTTTTATGCTTCCTCCTTCTGGAAGATTAATTTGGCTTCATTTGTTTGGTTTTTGACTGTTCCATCCTCTTACATCTGTCTTGTTTACACGTGGTTGCTTTTACGCAGGTTCAACTGTGAAGAACTAACCTGGTTTTTTGATTCTTGATTTTTTTTTTCCTTAGCTGTTGATAACTATCATAGAGCTTAGCAAACAGCTAATGCTGTTTCTGTTTCAGGAAATAGCACAAAATATGAATTGGAGCAATATGTAAATGCAGGAAGCAAGCTGTTGCAATATAACCCTGGTTTCTTTGGCCAGTTGGATTCACAGTCAGATTAGGATATCTGGAGGTAGTTATTCCATCCTATTGACTTGTCCATGGAAGCAGCTTATAGGGATCTCTGCTCAAAAGCTTGTGGAAACCAATTAACAATTGCAACATGGTGCGTGCCAAGGAAATCCCATTATWATTTCTTGCACGGAAAGCCAGGGTAAAAGGCAGCAGTTCTAGTGTCATTTACAAAATCCTGGTTAAAAATAAAAAATCTCTGTCTTTCACTCTTTTTGTTGCCATTTTTGAGATGGTGGCTCCTGGCCAGCAAAGGACAYGGGAGGTGTGAAGGTGCCCTGAGCTGAAGCTGCTGTAATGAGGCAAAAGCAAAGGTTTTGCCTTGCTTTTGCCCAAAATTCACCAAAATTTGGTGAGGGGKTTAGACCATGTAGAGCTGAGCAGCTCAGGTCTGTGCTCGGTGCTTTCCTCTCCGGGGCACAGGGGGATTGTCACTGTGGCAGGGAGAAGGATGAGCCTTTGGAGGGCTGAGAGTCTGGGAARTCAATATCCCATTAAATAGGATTTGTCAAACGAAGCACAGACCAGCTCTGCTGCAACTTTTGCTTAAATAGCTGCTTTGCAGAAATCTGTAGAAGAGCTAAGGAAAAAAAAGCTATTAGATCAATTCAAAACAAATTCAATCTGATAGYTTCAATTTTGGCATTGTTCTTTGTTCTTTTTTTGTTTTAATTTTTGACAAATTTACTGGAAATCATGATGTGTTTCTTTAATCTTAATGACCCRTGACATAAGATTAATATTAACCCTCCTAAGGAATACGTGAGATAGTTCAAGTAGCAGCTGCCAGCTGTGAGGCAGCACATTTTGCTTTATTCATCAGTGAGCTGGGTCAGTGGTGGCTTTTTGCTCTTCTTCTCTCTGTCATTAGAAATAATAGCTTTATCCCTGTACTTTGAATTGTGAAAGAAAAGCACAGTTTTGGACCTTCTGTGCTGCTAGAGATCCAAATGCTGGTTCTGCTCTATCTGCACTGGAGTTTTTGAAGTTCAGGAATTTGACTGCCTATGACTGATGGGTGCCTTTTATTATTTGGGTGCATTTTTTCCATAGCTGGAAGGTGTTAAGAAGCCAACCCTCAAGCCCTTGGTACCCTGTGACACCTGCTCTGGTGGGGAGCTCCATCCCTGTTTCCTTGCCTCCAGCTCCCTTTAAAGAAATCCTGAAGTTTGTTTTTTCAGATAGACCCAGTAAAATGCCATAACAGCTCAGCAGCCATCAGGAGGAGTGAAGGCAGTGAGAGGGAAGTTGTACACTCCCACTGAACTCCTCTGCATCATCAGAGTGGGTTTATGATAATTTTAAATGGTCTATTTAAATTTATCTGATGTGTGAGATGAGTTAGAAGCCAAAGTATTGGACTGAGATAAGGCAGACCAGTCCCAGCTCTGCAGTTGTTGGGATGGGGAGTGTTTGACAGATCAGTTTGTTTCTCCAGCTTCCTTATCTGAGAAGTTGTTGCAGCTCCCTTGATGTGTTTGTAAAACACTTTGAAGTGTGGGAGTGATGTGTGCTCAGGAAAACCAGATTATATCATTATTGGATGCTACGGATTGATTTTTGCCTTAAACATTTGCAGAAMCAACGGGAGTTTGGTGGTTTTGGTTTCGTGTAGTTTTAAAACACAGACAGATGTGTATTTGTAACACCATGGAAATCTGTATGTACCATGACTTCCCTGTATTTTGTGCAGTGATAACAGAAAATTATTATTAATCAGAAACTAGATGGGAAATAGATTAACAAGAACTAAATTGGGAGTGATGATTGAGAGCCAGTTAAACAACAGGTATTCTTTTCCTCAGTACATTTGAAAAAAACCCCCAAAACAACTCCCCCAGAAACTCCCAAAAAAGAGTGAGAAACATTCTTCTCTACTAATTTGCAAAGCCTTTCAAATGGTAATGGGAAAAAAAAAATTGAAATTTTTTTTTTTGCCCTTGGTACCTGTTGGCTCACCCCAGAATCACCACTTCTGACTGGTATCACTAGACTTCCTAACCCTTTTTTTCCTCTCTTTTTCAGAAAACAAGGAACAAAAATATCCTCCTGTGACATTTGTCTCTAAGTTGGGGCAGAGCTGCACTTCCCRGGGGCTGTGAAGAGCTGGGCAAGGATGGATGGGACATAAAACAGAGCAGAAATCCTGGAGCCTYGGTCACCAGTCTGATGGACTTATTGTGAGTAGGAATGGGACTCATTTCTCACCTGTGTGCCACACAAAGAGGCTCAGCAGGGCATTATTTACACCTTTGTGCTGGCACTGATAAAAAAATACCAGCATCCCCTTCGTCAGGTAGCACAGGGAATCATCATGCTCAAGGTGCCAAGCAGCTGTTGAAATCTGCAGCTCAGTTTTGGGTGAGATGGTGCCTTGATGGAGGTTCTGAAAAATAACTTTRTACTTTGGCCTGAATTATGCTGTGCCTTGATGCAGCTGGAGTGTGCCTGGGTGCAGGGTTTTGCTCTGCAAGGTGGGGAAAATTATTTTTTAGTGCAGGACTGAGGCACTTTTGTTCTTGTAGAGTAACATGAGAGGATTCAGCAGATAGCAATATTTATTGAAATGATTCAGTGTGGAGGTGTCTTTAATAACTGTCTATTTTAGATCTGCACCAGCAAACATTTTGTGTTTCTCGTGTCTGTGGCAATCRGTGGTTTTGCTCAGCGTTAATGTTTAACTTTAAAACAAACCGCTGGATGCTTAAAACACTGGATGCAGCTCCTCTCTTTCACCCTGTTTGCCAAACTTCCATGTCCTTGTGACTCCTTGTGATTCTGCCCCTGTTTTTGGTGTGGTGGCTGCGACGCACAGCCAAGAAAACAATTGCTGGGGACACGTAAGAGTGAAAAAAACGTGTGGGGACTTCAGGCTGTGGTGTTCCAAGCGAATTGGTTGAGTTTGTGTTTCCCAGTGCCTCGCCCCTGTGCTGGTTCCTGTGTCACAAACCTCAGGGCGATACGTGAGTAAGTGTTGAGAGAGGCAGGACGAGCTGGACGTGGCGCTGGCACCGCGTGGGTCCCTGCCAGGGTTTTTATTCTCTGCCAGCGAGAGTGAGCCCTGATTTAACCTTCTCAGTTCGTGCTGCCCTCGTGCTGATGAATGGCTGCCACTGTGTGATCCTCAGCCTTGCCTTGGGAGCCTGCTGAGATCTCATTTCATGCTGCACCTTCATTTGTACCCCCTCTTCAAACACTTCCTTTTTTTTTTTTTTTTTTTTTTTTTTTTTGTTTTTTTTTTTTTTTTTTTTCCCCTTCTGCAAATTTGGCCTTTTTCCAAAGGGAAGACTGACAAAGAAATCTGGACAAAGCCTCTGGTTGTGATTGTTTTCTTTTTTTGTTTGTTTGCACAGGTTCACACCTTGCTTCCCAACACTTGAATTGTTTCTGTACTGTTGACAAAGGAAAAAAATGACCTCTACTGTAGTAAGTAAACACAATATTCACAATATCCCTCTCTGATTTTTTTTTTCTTTTAATGTTTTTTTTTTCTTCACACATAAGAGCCTACTGGGTGATGTCCTCTTTAAGTAGTTTTTTAAAACATGGAGTATTCGTTCTGTTTTCTTTTTGGCAGAAAGAAAGTGAAGCAGGTGTAAGAGGCTTCAATTAACCAACATTTGAAGCACTCAGATACTTTTAGGAGACATGCTTTTGATCATATGCTTTTCATTCATTTAAGCTTGTTTTGGTAGGATAGGTTAAAATGGCTTTTAATTAGTCCTTAAACTCTCCCGGGATAAATATCCCACAGTCTGTTGCAGGCCAGTGTGTGTCAGAAACAGCTTAKGTGTACCTGGTGTTGTCACAGCATGAAATGGGGCATAAGCATTTATCCTGGAGCTGCACAAAGGCTGCCACTTGTCAGCATTTCTTTCTGTGATGGTGTTGCCCACAGCCATCCTTGCTGTTTATTTCTACCCTGTCAGATGTCCCAGGGCAAGCGTTCATGCAAACAGCTTAGAGCTGGGCTCAGGAATCCTTCTTAGGATGGGTTGCTGTGGGTCAGGAAACTGATCTCAGAGGTTTTCCAGCCTCACTCTGAGTTATTTTTATTATTTTTATTTATCATTTTTATTATGCTTTTCTAAAAAAAAAGCAGGAAATTAAAACCCAGTTTTGCTGTTTTTTGCTCTCCTTTCTGTTCTGCTCAGGAAAAGAGGAAGTCAGATCTAGTGGAAGACAGCCCTGCTCACTGCATTGGGGTTGGACTAAAATGATGTCTAAAGGTTCCTTCCAACCCAAAYTCTGTGATTTTAAGGGAGTTCATTTAGGGCTATCAGGATGACACTTTGTGTTCTTAGGGGTGGTTTTTTGGCCCGTTTTGGTTTGTGCAGGGTGAGTGTTTTAGGCATGAGCTGCGAATCTTTTTGTCTGTGTAACCTGGAATCACCAATGAGCGTTCTGCGTGCAGGGTCTATTTTACAGAGCAGGGCTCTGAAATTTTCTCCTAATTCCWGCCTTGTTTTTCCCCTTCTCTTGCTTCCTCCCTGCCCACCGCCAGGGTCCTCCGCCATGCTACGAGAACCGGGGCTTTCAGCCAGAGCCCGTCTACKCTGCCAGGCAGGCAGGAGGTGCTAATCCTTACCCCCAGTACTTCGCCACAAACGCTCCCTCGGTGCCAAGCTTCGTCCCCAGGGTCGCCACCCACCAGTCCACCAGGCCAGTAGCACAGCCACCCAGGAGAACTTGTGCAGCCAGTAAGTTTTGCTGGGATTTCTTCCAATTTCAGGCTTGAGACCCTGTTGAAGCAAAATAACAATGGAAAAAACCCGTCCTTTCCAACTCACGGATGAAGAAGTAACAGCTGGTTGGGGTGCTGGTGCAGCTGGGTGTTTTGGAGGGAGGATGGTGGGATGGAGAAAARTCTGGCTAAAAATGGCTGATTTTAATGTCAAATACATAGTGCTGGTGGGTGGAAATTACCTTACTCACGAATCTGATTTCTCTCTTCCCCCTTGCTTTCATTTCAGGTCTRAGGAAAACCATAATAATTTTATTATCTATATTAATAGTAATTTGTTGTGCAATTGCTGCTTTCTTCATCTGGTATTTTGGTAAGTTWTTTTTCTTCTCTTTTTGCTTTGTTTTGAAAGAAAAGATGTATTAAGCTTTTAAAGTTAGAAATATACATTCTCATCCTACATTTTATGCTGAATTAAGGACAGGAAAATCTTTGTTCCTTATCTCCTAAGAGATGACCTAATGTTGCTTCCTAATGGCTTAGTTTTGTTTGTGGGTTGGGTTTCTTTTGTTGTTCTTTCTTTTTAACGTTGCTGTTACCAAATTTGAGCTTCAGTTAATTTCAAGTGAAGAGAGGGGATTGCAGTGAGTGTGTGTACCTGGACTGCAGGAGTGTAAACCATCAAGATGTGTTTTGTTTTGGTAAAATGGGATCTGTATGGAGCAGGAGTAATTTACATCCATTTATTTGTTTCTCTGTGGGTTTTGTGTTAATGTTGTGTGAGCCCAGCCTGTCTCAGCGCTGTAAGTTGTGCCATGGCTGATGTGTTGGCCTTGGAAATCATCCYCAGCTGGGGTGACAGAGCTCTGGAGCTGGGCTGGACCAGTTCTGTTCAGTTCTGTTCAGCTCAGGTGAAGTTTGCCTTGTGCTGAGTTGATTTCCCTTTCAATGAAAGCTGCTTTTCTAAAAAAAAGCAGGAAACTAAAAGCTGATTTGCTCCTTTTATGAGCCTCTCCTTCTTGTTCTGCTCAGGGAAAGAACAAGAGAAATCTTGTGGAAGATGTCCCTGCTGACTGCATTGGGRTTGAACTAAAATGATGTCTAAAGGYTCCTTCCAACCCAAACYGTTCTATGATTTCAAGKGACTTAATTTAGAATTATTAGGATGCGACTTTGTGGGTATTTTTTGACTTATTTTGATTTGTGCAGGGTGAACGTAACCTTGTTTTAAATGACAGCAAAACTGTAKAATTGAGACACTCACTTTCTTCCTCCTTTTCTGAGTGTTAACGCTTTGCCAGTGCAAAGCTGACTCCTTTTTGACAACTTAATGGTGCCTGATAATTCAGGGGAGGCCAGTGGCCCAAATCCAATCAGCTGCATCAGTGGCTTGATCTGACAAGCATCACAAAGGACAGAGCAATCCATCTTTGGCAGTGGCAGGCTGCCTTCCCTCCCGCCTCTGCACTTTAGAGCCGCTTCCCGTGCTTTGCTCTGCCAAATTGGGAAACTCCTGGAGACCCAGCTGCCTCTCAGCTGTGCAGCTCCATGGCTGTGTTCCTGTCTCCCTGCAGTAGAGAATCACTGTCTGAGCTCGCTGATCGAGTGTGGATCCTCAGGAGTGTGCATGCCGCCCTCGCAGTGGTGCGACGGAGTGAGCGACTGCCCCAACGGGGAGGACGAGAACCGCTGTGGTGAGTGACACTGCTGGGGAAAAAATCTGCATCAGCTGCGAGGGCTTTTGGGCAAATTGCCTCACCCACAGCTTGCCCAAGGCTGCTTTTGCCCCAGCTATATCTTTAAAGCTGCATAGGATGTGCGAATGCTTTGAAAGAYGTATATAAATATTCGGTTTGTGTGCAACCTGACTGAAAAGCTGAAATGAAATGCCTGGCTCAGGGGTTTAAACTGCCCTGACTTTGYGTCAGTTTTTTAAATGTTACCTTTTAATTTGAGTGGGGTTTGTGCAGAGCTGAGTTTAGCATTGTCTCTGGAAGGARCACTCAGTGCTGACCTCTCAGTAAGCTTCGGGTGGTAACATAAACCCGGTGGTCTCCAGTCAAAATTGTCTTTTTTCATGTATTTTGCATTCYTCATTCTCAGCTTAGATCTTCAACTCTTTCATAACTGATTTGTGTAAGAAAGCCTGGCCTGATCATTGCTTTGAACTGAAAAGATATCAAGGGTAGCTTTAGTGCAGAGCTGAAGGCAGAAGGTGAAAATATCYTTGATTTACCCATTCCAGAGCTTTGGCATCTTTTGCTGTGCCAGTGCCACACACTGGAAAATTCAGCTGTGCTCTTCTTCCCTTTGTTAACTGAATCCAGCCCATGTCTCATGCAGGGTTAGCATTTTCTGGTGTGTGCACTGCAGCTGTTCCACTCCATCTGGTTGGATAATGGGTTCTTGGAGGAGCTTGTTTCAATCTGTTCTTTTGCTTGAACTATTTTTTATTACATTCTTGTGCGAATAAATGCATAATGGGCTGTAGAATGTCAGAGCTAATTGCTCCTGGTTACATTTTCGCTCCACAAGGGCTTCTATGAAGAAATTTGGTGTATTAAGAGAGAATATAAATTCTTTTTCAATAGATCATATTTTATTTATRCACAGTATCTGATCAATCAAGGAATATCTGATTGCATAGATAAAAGATAAGAAAATTTTGACTATTGTGGTCTTTCTCAGTGGTAAARTATAAAAGAGAACATTGAGCATAAAAGCTGAAGCAAAAGGATGAGCTTTATCTTGTACACTTGCATTTTAAAGCTGGTAGTCCTTTTAAATTGCCTTACATGAAAAGAAKTAAGTCATTGCCATATTCCATATTCTACTGGATATTTACTCAGAATTTGAGTAGAAGGCAGCATTATATTAACATCAGCTCATACATAAAGTGGATATTATGGGTAACTACTTCCAAGTAGAGAAAGCAGTAATAATAGCGTGTGGTGTTCTTGGTTTCTTTTTTTTTTTTTCCTTCCCCGTCTTCCTTTTCTGGCAGTTAGACTTTTTGGACCAAATTTTATCCTGGAAGTTTATTCACCTGTCAGCAAGTCCTGGTATCCTGTTTGCCACGATGACTGGAATGACAACTATGGGAAGATCGCATGCAAAGACATGGGCTACAGCRCGTAAGTGCAGCCTCTGTCAGCCTTTGCACAGGCACAGAAAAAGGTTAAAATTCCCCTCTTGCTGTTTTTGATGTGTCTGAGACTTTGCTCTGAAAACCTGCTGGCAAAGGCATCTCTTCACCTTGCCCTGTAGCACGAGGTGCATGCATATCAGATAAAAATRCTATTTTAACCTAGTGACTGATGGGAAGWGGAACTTGACAAATGTTTAAAAAAYCCGAGACTCTGGCTGYGCCGCATCGCCAGGGTTCTGCCTTCACTTAAAACCAAAAATAAATGTTTCTGCTGTTGTCACATCAGAAGCTCTGTCTTGGCACAGCTGATTGTTTCATGTTTGAACCCTGGAGCTCGTGGGTTTCACAGTGGCCTCTCTGTTTTGCAGAGACACCTATTTCTACAGTCGTGGGGTAGCGCCCGGGGCCAGCTTTAAGAGCTTCATGAAGCTGAACACAAGCGCTGGGAACATAGACTTGTACAAAAAGCTGTACAGCAGGTATCTTTATTTCATACAACCTCTCTCCTTTTATCAGGGGTCTGCTTGGCTGCTGTAACAAGTGGAGTTTCTGCCTGCAGTGTAATGCAAGCACATCCTTCAGCAGGGATTGTTGGAGGCAACGAGGTTTTGTTTTTAATCTCTTTGCAGCCACTGTTCTTTTGTTTAAAAACACAGCTGTCATTTTTCCATCCTCCCTGTCCTCTTCTAAAAGAAAAAATGCCTCCTCTGTGTTTTTTGCCATGACAAAGGTGCTTTCCTAGGGCTCTCTGACCATCAGCAGGGATTTGTGTGTGGTGACAATAGTTGTGATCTGTAACACATTCACAGCATCTGGCACAGCCTTTTTCTCAGTCACAGCATGCAAAATTGGATCTTTCATTGGGGAAAGTATCATTTTTTATTCTCATTAAACAACTCTGAAGTGTCCAGTTTCAAAACCTGCAGATGTCTGTGCCTGCAAACTTCCTGCAACTCCCTTTAGATTCTTCTACAATGACTTCCTAAATCCGCTCAACCTTCTCATTTCTTCATCTTGCTTCTCAATAGGCTGACAAACCTTTTGCACTGTGCCTTTTGGGTGTTTTGGTGAATGTAAGGYGTGGTGGAGGCCAGATGATGCTGGTAGGGTAGCTGGAGAGAGAGAAGGAAGGAGAGAACTCTGCAGGAAGATGAAGCTGAAGGCGGGGCACATAGCTGGAAAGGACAGGAAGCAGCTGGAAGGTGGGCTTTGCTCACTGTTTCCTTCACTGTGGGCCTAAGATCCTGTCTGTTTTTTTATTTTTCTTGCAGTGATTCCTGTGCCTCAGGAAACGTGGTTTCTCTGCGCTGCATAGGTAACTCACCGGCTTTTTTGGACTGCTGTTGTTTGTGCTTTGAAATGCTCTGGCTGGGGAGTCCTTTTGGACCTCTGGCATTAATTGCTGTCTATGGGTGGGCAAGTGGTTTAACTCTAGTTCCCAAATTTCAAACAGAGCAGTTTAAGGAGCAGGATGGGAGAGGAGACAAGGAGGGCATTGCATCCCCAGTTGGTTTTGTCTTTGCTGCTGCCRGTTCCTTTAAATGTCTGTTGTGAAGCTCCACATCCCTCCCCAGCAGCTCTGTGGGATGTCTGTGGCCCCTTTTCTCTCCCAGATTCAGCCACGGGGTGGGCAGTGCCCTCCTGATGGTGATGGCTGTCCTGAGGAGCTCCCTGCTCTTGGCTGCTCTGTGCTCAGCACAGAGGTGTGTGCACAGCCAAGGATTCTTGAACAGTGTCATGAGTTTGTGGGGAGCCAAGGGCAGCGCTGCCAGGTGCTGTTTGCAGTTTAATGGGGGTTTAGGCTGTGACAGAGCTGGGATCTCGGCGTGGGGCAGGGTTTGAGCTGTGGGGTGTCCCACAGACCAGGCTGAGCTCCCCTCTGCCCAGGGCGCATCTCCAGCTCTCTCTTTCACTGAGCCCYGTGTGGATCTGACTTTGCAGAGTGTGGCCTGTCCAGCAAGAGCGCGACCATCATGAACAGGATCGTGGGGGGCAGCGGGGCYGTGCTGGGCCAGTGGCCGTGGCAGGTCAGCCTCCACGTGCAGGGCACCCACGTCTGYGGCGGCTCCATCATCACCCGCCACTGGATCGTCACAGCAGCACACTGTGTGGAAGGGTGAGTCTGCCTCTCAGCTCCCCCAATTCATCCTTTAAAACCCCATTCCTCCCACCCTGCCCTGCATGAAGGTGCTGGGTACGATATTCTGTCTCTCTAGCAGTTTGGGTTTGAAGGGGTTTGAAGAATTAAGGGAAGATTGGTTCTGGAGGAGGCTGGGGGCAGCTCATTGTCTGCTTTCTGCAGGAAGTCTTGTTTTACTTTTTGTCTTATTTACAAAATGAAATCAGTGGTGTTGAGCACAGACTTCTGCAGGAAGTCTTGTTTTACTTTTTGTCTTATTTACAAAATGAAATCAGTGATGCTGAGCACAGATTTTTTCAGGAAGTCTTGTTTTGCTTTTTGTCTTATTTACAAAATGAAATTGGTGGTGTTGAGCACAGATTTCTGCAGGAAGTCTTGTTTTACTTTTTGTCTTATTTACGAAATAAATAAGCACAGGTAGCCACCAGTAAGGTGTAAACTCAAGGCACCAAATTTAATGCCAGGCACTATGATGTTTTCATGAAGATGTTGAATTATACTGTGAGAAAACCCRAAGAAAACTCCCCCCACAATTCTCAAATAACACGCTACTGAAGATATGATCAATTTAAAGGTGCCTGTGCCATTTATTTCTTCATATCTTCATGCCACAGGGCTGTAAAGTCCAAGTCAGTGTTAAATATAGATTTATACTTATCCAAGGAGCACTTTATGTAGCCATCAACAAGAAAAATAGCCGATGCTTTGTACTTTTTAAACTCTAAAGGAGAGTTGAGGGTGCTGTGGTACCTTGTGTAAAGGGCAGGATTTGTTTAAAAGGTGGCTGCTCCTGTTGGAGGGAAAACCCACAAATCAAAAACATTTTTAATGTTTTTATTTTCAATGGTTGGTTGGCTGGATCACAGTTTGAGGCTGAGGCAAGAAAGAATATTTGTCCTTAACCTTGAGAAAGGAATGCAAGTGTTGATTTCTACCTGGAGATCTTATCCCTCCTTTGTTGCCTGGATTTGAGCTCTGTAGYGTGCAAAAGCTTTGGGAATGGCAACCAAGCTCCAGCTGGCACAAACCTGGTTTTCAGCCTGATCTGGGCTTTTTTTGGAGGTGGAGTGACTTTCAGGCACTAGTGGCTAGGCACTTCTCAAGGAGGAAGTTTTAACACTTGTGGCAAGCTTTCCATTAAGCTTTTCTAAACTGTGCTGGAGCACAAGAAGCTACTTAAATTGCATCTAGCAAGCGTGTTTGACATTAAAAAAAAACCAAAAAACACCAAAACCCAAAACCAGCCTAAAAAAGCCCTGACATTTTCAAGATAGTGAAATTCTTTCGCTAGATCATGTTTTTACTAATTCTGTCTTCTGCTGATAGCGCTGACATGTGAGAGCTCAGAAATGCCTGCCCGATCCCTCAGCCATGGAAATCAATAGACTTCAGTGTTGCAGTCTCAGATTTAATTTGTTGTGCTGAGTGATTGAGGGGATGGACAGTGATACTCAACCCATTGCAAAGATTATTTTTTTTTTACATATTTTTGAAGTTAAAGCCAAGCTTTACTTAAGTTACATATCTGGAAATTTTTTTTTTGTCTTATTCTTCAGAAAAGGTAGTCAAATGCATGTGCATTTTTGGTCACACAAACATTTGACTACAGCTCCTGAGGACAATATTTTGAAGGTCCTGATCCATGTTTCATCACCAGAGATGCAAACCTGAGCTCTCTTTGTGTTCTGCAGGCGATTYTCTGACCCACGCAGCTGGAGGGTTTATGCTGGGATCCTGAACCAGGACGAGATGCTCTTCAGGAGTGGGTACAGAGTGCAACAGATAATTTCCCATCCRGATTATGACACAGACTCTAAAGACAATGATGTTGCTCTTATGAAGCTGGAGACACCACTGAGTTTTACTGGTAGGTATTCTGCTCTTCTTAAGGGAAAAATGCAGTGGCAAGGAGCACAGCTTTTAAAACTTGTGATTTTCATCAAGAAATCCTTGTATGTACTCACAGGAAGAACACAAAATGACCCTAGAGATAAGGTATAGAGGCAGAGAGCACAGCCTCTGATTTCCTGAGTAGGATTTATTTAAATCTGTGGGAGTTACAGAGGAAGGGAGTTTGGGCTTTTGTCAATAATGTACTTTTACCCCAGAATGCTGTATGGTGATTCAGTTTGGCCCCTGCTCCATGTGCAGACAAATACAGATGCAGTGGTGGAGCATTAAATCCCAAATCAAGTCAAATTATGGTCAAAAAATCCCTCAGAACTCAACATTACAACAAGTTCCTTCATAAAAACAGATGTAGGATGTTTGTAAGCAATCAGTACAAAACAGAGAGCAAGCCATTATTTAAACTTGAAGTACTTCTTGTGTACAGGCCTTTTGTATTTCTGTGCATCAGTTGAAAGCTACCTGGAGTAATCTAAAAGGGATTTTCTGCTGCTGAGAGCAGGTAGATTGTCTGTTTTCCAGGTTTTTGTGCTGCACACTTCTTGTATATATTAGCACTAAATCCTCCTTTTGCTGTGRTTATTCTCAGCATAGTTTTGCAAGGAGAATTCAGGGCTGTAGTTTTCTTCTTCATCTACTTTTCAGAAGAGCTGGTGTTAATTGTTCCATTTAACCTGATGAATTATTATAGAACCATTAGCTGCTTGTTCCTCACTTTGAGGTGCAGATTAGGTAGATTTGAGGTGCAGATCATGTACCCTTCAGAAAAAGGGCAGCTTTCTGCTGCTGCCTGCCTTGTCTGCCTGCAAGGAATGCACAGTACAGAGGAAATGYGTGGTGTGTAAGCAGGGATTGTTCAAATTCATCTCAGATTCTGTCTGAATATCTGTTATTCCATTTGCTTTGCAGAAACTGTGAGGCCAGTTTGCCTGCCCAACCCAGGAATGATGTTCCAGCCGAACCAGCAGTGCTGGATATCAGGCTGGGGAGCAGARTACCAAGGAGGTAAAGAGTGCTTCTGGAATATTTTGATCTTCTACACCAACTGGTCTTCTCCAGCCTGTGAATGRCTGTTGCTGATGGGGCAGTTTGATCCAGATCTATTGATACACCATTTTTTACCCATTTTTCAGCCCCCAGTATTTACCCAGGATATTTTGTCTCAAAGCACGTTGTGATTTGTTGCACTRCAAAGGACCCTCAGATCAGTACTGGGGGCCAGAAATATTCCCCCAGGGAACAATTCTGTGCCCCTGCTAGCAGGGCCACCCCTCCTACAGCAAGGGCTGTTTGCCAAGCCCGTCCTGTGGGTGTGGGAAAGGGCAGGAGCTGCTCCTTTCCACCACCTCAGGCTGAAACAGAGCGATGCCAGTAAATTTATATGAGTGGAAAAGAGAAAGGGAGGAAAGGCTTCTTTTGGGATGAGAAAGGTGCTGGATGGGGAAAGGGTTGTTGGGGAAACTGAGGCTCGAATATGGGAATTGCTGGCAGCTGGTGTTGGCCCTTGAGACTGTGGGGAGCTCCTCTTGTAGACTTTTTACATCTGAAATTCCCATCCTGCTGCTTCTAGGAAGCTTTTTCATCTCAGCTGCTGGGAATTTTTGTAGTACCACTCTAATTTTGTCTGCATGTTTCAATTCTAGGTAAAACATCGAATAACTTGAATTTCGTGGCRGTGCCCTTGATAGAACGTTCGAGGTGTAATGCAGGTTTTATCTACAATGGCATGATTCTGCCCACCATGATCTGTGCTGGAGACCTGGCAGGAGGAATTGATTCCTGTCAGGTAATTATTCCTTAGTGATAGTTAATAATGAGCTGATTGGTTTTGTGGCCTTGCTAGCAGGATTTTAAAATTATCTGTCTGTCTATCTCTCTGTCTATCTGTCTGTCTATCGATTTTGCTATTGCAAATAAATCCTACACCCCTCCCCCCCCCCAAAAAAAAAAAATAATAATTTAAAATTTGCTTAACACCTGGTTAGGCTTTGGTGGTGCATCCCTTTAGAAAGGAGAGCTTTTGTTTCATCTCCTGAATGGCTGCCAGTGCTGAGTTCTCACTGAATTCCCAAAGAGGGTGAGGCAGCCCTTTTTCGTGCTTCAAGGATGGTTTGTTACCTGGTACTTGAAAGTGATCAAATGCTCCTCATAATCCCAGCATTATTGTCATTATTGTGTCATTAATCASAGCACTGTCTTATGAGCAATAAAGTCAGTGATGCCAGTCTTACTTAGGGGGTGCTGGGCAGGGTGATTTTCATCCCTATTGGAAGCAGACGTCATTTAATAACAAAATKACGATCATATTTTGCGTTAGTGGCTCCCTAAATGGCGGGCAGATTTATTGTGAAGCTGCAGCTGCATTCTTGGAGTGAAATGGATCGTGTGCTCCTGGTGGCTGTGTCACTCACTGAAGGTGTTTGTGTCCCCTGCAGGGTGACAGCGGAGGTCCCCTGGTGACCCACCACCACTCGGTGTGGTGGCTGGTTGGGGACACCAGCTGGGGCACGGGCTGTGCCACCCCCAACAAACCCGGAGTGTACGGGAACATGACTGTGTTTACAGAYTGGATTTATAAAAACATGCAGGTAAAATGTCCTGAGTTTCTTTTTGTAAATTTAAAGGCTCCACATCCTGAAATGTGGTTTTATTTTAAAAAAAATTAATAAATAAATGTGACTTGTCTGCTAACTAAGCTGTCCTGTTGGGCAGCATCCAAGTGATTGTTAAGATAGAACTTGAACCTCTGATTTTTGTTTTGTTTTTGTCTTTCAAACAGGCAAACAGATGACAACGCTCTCTCTCCTTGCTAATTGATGTTCCTGAGGACGAGAATAAATGAAGCCATGGGGGCCTGGGATATTTATTCACTTTGCAGTTGATTTTATTTTTCCTCCTTGATTTTTCTTTTTTAAAAATAATATGAAGGATTGCACACTTGGCTCTGTGCTGGCTACAGTGACTGATCTTAATCAGTGAAGGATTCTCACAATGAGCACCTTTCTTCTCCTGTGGTGCCTGGCAGAGTTGTTCTGTCAGCTGCTTGCTGAAATGTCTCTCTCTTGTTGAGTAACTTCTGCTTGATAATCAGGCTTATAATGACAATTTAAATCACAATTTAATTTCAGATTTTCCGTAGCAGGACGCTGAGACAGTTTGGTTTAGTAGTTTTTAAATTAAATGCTAAGTAATGTGAATGTTGAATCTCTGAGCTGCTGGTTGGCAATTTAAAAAGGAATGAAATTTTTTTTTTTTTTTAGAATAGAATCACAGAATGGTTTGGGTTGGAAGGGACCTTAAAGATCATCCAGTTCCAACCCCGCTGCCATGGGCAGGACACCTTCCACTATCCCAGGTTGCTCAGAGCCTCGTCCAACCTGGCATTAAACACTTCCAGGGGTGGAGCATCCTCAGCTTCCCTGAGCAACCTGTTCCAGTGCCTYACCACCCTCATAGGGTAGAATTTCTTCCTAAAATCTAAATGTGCCCTCTTTCAATCTGATGTCACTACCCCTTGTCCTCTCACTATATGTCCTTGTCCAAAGTCCCTCTCCAGCTCTTTTGTAGGCTCATTAGGGACTGGAAAGGATGCTGAGGTTTCCCCAGAGCCTTTTCCAGGCTGAACAACCCCAGCTCTCTGTCCCTGTCTCCATAGCAGAGGTGCTCCATCCYTTGGAACACCTTTGTGGCCTCCTCCTCCAACAGGTCCGTGCTGGAGATCCCAGAGCTGGTGCCACATTCCAGGTGGGGTCTCAGGAGAGCAGAGCAGAGGCTGAGGGGGATTATATGAAGGGAGTTTTTCATGCACTACAGTACAGGCACGGAAAAATAAAATAAATACTGTATATTCAGGTAGTTAAAAATCCTCAGGATCTCAACACAGCCGTCATCAAAGTCAGATTGTTCCAGTCTGGCTGCCTCAGTCCTTACGAAATGTGCTGTTCTGCCTTAAGCTGCTCTGAACCCAAAATGGGCAAGGCTGGCTGCCACTGTGGATGTGGTGTTTGGAGAGGGATGCCCTGGAAGGGAATGCCCTGGCCAGGGAT